CAGACAACCTCTCGTCAATATGCGTTTTTCGCATTGCATTGCTGCAAAAAACGCATAAAAAGGACAAGAATCCCCAGGTGGGACCCTGGTTTTTCGACATCTACATCAACTCAGCTTTAGTTTCAACTCAGCTTCAGCTCCAACTCATCTGCGGCTTCGACTCGACTTATCTTTGACACAGCCTCGATAGAGTTTCAACTCGGCGACAGCGACTGCGTCGTAGAGGATCATACGTGTCGTTCAAGATCGTCAGCCTCTACTAAGTCCAGTCGTAGAGCGCTGACCTAGCTGCGCGTTCCTTCGTTCCCCTTTGTAGCGGTTGCACTATACAAGTGGCACGCGCAGGCATTGCACTGTCGCTGAAGAGCCATCATTAGCCGACCTCTTAACACTTGGTTACACTTGGCTTCTGGTCTGTAGCCACACTTAGCGACACATGCGCATCAGACTTGGCTGTACTAGCAGCTGATTCATTACCAAACAGAGTCAACAGTAATACGCCATCTGCTCAACTACGATCAAACATAGCCCTCTGAGTCTCAACTTCGCAGCACGCTTCCTCTCCCTATAAGTTTTACACAACCAGAAAAGTTGCCTGCTCAGAATTTTGGCGAACTAGCGCACCAGATGTATCCTGCCTTGACCGGTGATTTCAGTTTCAAATTCTGACTGACGTTGTAATTCATAGCTTCTGAACTTCGTGATTCCCAAATCTTGCAACGATTTGTAGCTGGGACTGTTTTGACCTCGTAGTGCGCGTCGCTACATGTCAGCAGTGAACGAACCGTATAATCATCATGACAAAGTGTACCTAATTCCTGCATGCATCGGTGAGTCCTCGCAGCTGCTTATTTCCGACACTCATGAGAAACGGTCAAGGCATTTGCTCGACAATGAAATGCACTCGGAAGCGAACAGCATTCATGCCAACCTGGTGTATCCCAAAGTGCAGGCCTGCCCCCTTTAGCGACATCGTCTTCAGTTCCATCCTTTCACACCGCCTCATTTTCATCTGCGGACTGAACCAGTAGTGCGTGGCATAACACTTTGAGGAAGCAGAACTTATCGTTTTTCCTTTCCTTATCGCGCAGCCTTGGATGGCAATCGTCTGCTAAGTTTGTTTCAGGCAGGGCAAAGTAAAAATGAAATTTCAGAAACAAGCACGGAGTTGAATAGATCAGATCGGATCGTGGCAGTAGTGAAGAAGGTGACGAAAATCAAGAGAACCAGCATTTGCGCCATCAGTGCAGGATTTTTGCAGAATAATAATGCCGGTTTGATGAGGAGACCCAAACAGTCCTGATAAAATTATGCGGAACAGCAAAGCACATGGGCGTCGGTACATGCAGAACCATGCAATATGCAAAAAATTTCAATGCATATGCAATTTTAATATGCAAAGAATTTTATTCAAAAAAGACAGGACCAAAAGGCACTTTATAAAAATACATAGTAGGGGACGGCTGCTTCGACGTCAGAGAGGTGAAATTCAAAATAATAAAAAAGGAAATAAAAGGCAGAAGTATCACGCTGGCATTTCTTCTTCTACGACATCCGTGGAGGGCGGTAGGTGCCGTTCATGATAGCCAACTGGATAAGCTGACGGCGCTTGAGCTCGTCGTTATCAGTGCTTAGCAGAGCATTGATGCAGAACACTCCGTCAGTCAGCTTTCTTAGGCACCGCTCTTCCGAGTAATCCGCTGCTGTAATAAGCACGTGCAGCGGCCCCCACAAGTGCTCCCAGCCAGCACGGTTGCGAAGATACGCTTCCCGGCGTGGATCCTAAAACGGATTTAATTTAATTTATCGCTGTGACAGTGGCGGAAAGGCTGCACTGGGTACTAGCTATTTCCTCCACCTCTCGATTAATAAATGGATTTTGAATTTTGACATTTCACACAAAGTTCGCCTTTCCATCAGTTGTTTCAAATTCCGCCATTTAATTTTTCTTTTTTTTTTCTCATTTAAGATAAGTGCAAATCAGTGGCCTCATGGTTCCTCAGACTCGACCAAACTGAATTTCAAAAATGATAGCGATCCCTGTTACCTTGACTGAGCCCCTGCCACGGATCACAATGCGGCAGCCGGTCTGTATTTCCAGCTGCTTAACGGTGCTGCCGCGCGGCCCAATGATGCGTCCGATGAATTTGGTGTTTGGACGTTCCGGGATTAATACCATCTCCTGCATAACAACTCGGCGTCCCCCAGTTGGCTGCAACGAGATCGAATGAGATGCACCAAAAGGGCTCGTTCCTGCTTGCGCGGGTGGCCGTAGTTAATTACCTGCTCAGGGCGTTGGTTGTACGCCACAACGCCGCTTCGATAGGCGCGAGCCAAAATGTGGCTCCAGACGGCATCGATCTCATTTATGAGCATCTCATACGTGTAACTGAGGGTGCCCGGGTAGTTGTGCCGGAAGGCGTCCAATTCAACCATTTCCTGGACCAGCTCCTCCAAACGGCTGAAAATCTTTTATTCTCTCAGAATGTGTGTACCAAAAAACCACAGAAGCAGAGCTGTTTTTGCAGCAGGGATTCCCTCGGAATGGAGTATTTCTAGAATGTTTCGGTAGTGAAGTTTTTTGAATAATGCTGTGTCAAATGCTACTTGTTTGTTAGCGTTTCCATGACGAATCCACTTTTTTTTCTTTTTTAAATTATGAACCTGTATTAATTTCCTGAAGGAAACTGATGATTTGTCATGCAATTTGTGAAAAAACAGGCATCTAAATGTAGCTTTTTGAATCTCTGGCTACACCCTTAATGTTAGAATACCTGGTGGTGCCATATGGATCGGTCGGAGCTGATGGCATCTCGGAGCGCGTGTGGCCGGTTGATGTGTCCTGGCAGGGGCCCTCCTGCCCCTCGCAGCTAGCTGGTTTGCATGTGGCTGCAGTGTTGTCCTCGCCTTCCATCTTTACTTCAACTCACAGCTTGTTCCCGCCGAAGATCGTTGAATCAGAATGATACTAACTGAGTTCTGTCACTTTTTCCCGCTTTTATAGCTACCGAAGATAAAATTTGCAGTTATTTCAATGCATATTCAAATTCTTTCATTTCAGATTAAATTGTTCTGAACTTTATTCAAGTGCAGAATTTACTGTTCAGAGAACTAATGTGCTTCTATATGGTTTGTGCAAGAATTTCATGCATTTCTGCACAATTTGTATAAAGACTTCTACATATTTTTGCATAAATTGCGTAAAAATGCGCATCATGGTTGGGTCATATTCACGTGCTTCTGTTTGGCCACCTGAAAATAAACTATCGTGAAGGCTGCGAAATTAAAATTTTGTGGATTTAGTTTTTATGCGTTTATACAAATGCAAAAATACATGTTGACAAGAGGTTGCCTGTATTTGCATGTGTGGTCGCATTTGTTACTTATTTTTCACTCACCGGAAAAGCTAGGAAGTTGAAACCTCTGGAGCATGTTCGCACACTACCTCCTTTCAAAATAATCGCTCGGGTGCTCTTGGTTCTCGTGTGCGGACGCCGAATGGGAAGATGTGAACTTTTTGGCGGGAAGAAGGCTTCTGGAACCAGACAACTTCTGTGAGTTAAAAATTTCAAATTTAGTTACCAT